GCCTATCCCTTTCATCTATCAATAATACCGAAAACGCTAATGAAAAATAATATATTAAGTTTTAAAATGTCTAATGTATAATTTAATGTTTCTTTTCAGGTATCAAAGGAGAATTCTCAACGTCACTCCGGTAAGTGGAACAACATAGATAATTCTCACTGCGTCACTTCTGATTATGAATAGTATTACTAATAAAATACCGATTCTATGTCCTGCTAATGAACTCACCAAGGGAACAAACTACTGAGAACAATTGGGAATCAGAACAACAACCTTAAAAATGATATTCCTTAAACTTAATGGGTCATCAATGGAGTTACAGTACCCAGCAATAAATATTGCACATTGACTTTTCGCTGGAGACTTTTGAATAATCGACACATTCGCACAAAGCGCTTCGCTTCGTAGAAGTGGAATTCTTTGCCAGAATCTGTATTTCACGATGTGTGTAACCTGGGTGTCTTCAAGGCCCGAGTGAATAAGTTGCTATCGGCAGGCGAAAAAGAGACCAAACGTCGACTCACTACATAATAAAAAAACAATTTTGTGTTACAAATTGTAATTGGGCCTCCGGTAACTTCACTAATACGACTTAACATAACGCAAGTGTTGTTTCACGTCGCTTTTCTGTGAGGCCGTGGTATCACTCCAGTCGAGCCAGCCCATTTGTGCCGAAGCATGGGGCTCTCCCACACTTAAAATTAATTTTAAAACTTAAAAATATTTTTTACAATACTTTTTATGATAGAGGTATAACTATACTCGGAATTTTAATTCGCTTCCAGATTTGACAATTTCAGTGTTGCAACGTTATGAAAAGTACTAAATAGTGACGTTGCGAAATTATTCGATATGGAAATTGAATATTTCTGGATCGATTCCTCTCGTTTATAATTTTACTCTCGTAAACTAAGTATATCAGGAAATTAAATATTTCTAAACCGATAATTTAGTTTTGAGGATTAATTAACGATCTGAGACTTTTCTTTTATAAATTGTGTGTGAAATAATTAAATAAATGTAATCATGAAGGAACATGACAAATAAAATCTGAAATGTTTTATGGTAATAAGTTATTTTATAAATTGTCGCCGTCATCGCTATCCTGTCATTTTCTGTAACATTTATTATAAAACACACACACTGATTGTTTATCGATTTTTGTGTTCATCACTACACTATTATATGTGGTATCATTATTTCACAAAATGACAGTAGGTATTGTCAAATCTGGAATCTAATCTAATCTAATCTGGAATCTAACTAAAACTAAACTAAGAAAAAACTAAACTAAGTTTTAGCGGTTTACTTTTTTAGTATAGAGGTAAATCATTTGTAGTAAACTTGACAATTTGACTGGTTATCTGTTTTCAAAGGTCGATATGCAGTATTTGTTGCCAGGTACTGTACTTCTTTATAAAGCAAGTCTCATAAAGAATATTCACAGTTACGAGTTAATAATAGCAGTCGTTTGATGCGTCATACATTGTGTTCTCTGTTCCCGCTAACATATTCATGTCACGTACAAAAGAGGCGATGTATATGACACAATTCATTAGCATCTATGTTTGTTAACGATGCAGTTGTTACTATGTTCGATTTGATTGCATTCTTAATTTTTATTTGGGATTTTTCCTGCTTGAATTAGTTGATGATTAAGAGAAGGTCTCTTATGTATACTCAAAACGTATGCAATTTCAAAAAACTTGTTTGAGTAGATAAAGTTAAAGGAATAAACAGACAAACAAATTTCTTTCTCATTTATAAGTAGACATGGTGAAATCTATTTCATTATCGTCCTGAAGTAAAAAGGTAAAATAATGGTTTTACAAAGAAGTAAAGTCTTTAAAACAAAAAAATAACTGATGAACATAGTAAAAAGCAAACTTACTCAGACTAACGAAAGTGCATACGAACTCATAGTACCTATATTATCAAAACATCACGCCATGTAATTCTCGATGAGGTATTTCTCGTCGGGTGGCACGTGCGAAGTGAATAGTGCCTACAATTATACGTCTAGTATTTCATGTGCGTATTTCCATGATTTTTTTTTAACTAAAAAGGTCATATTCTTTATGTTTTTGTTTCTACTTTATTCATCAAAAGTAATCCTTATGGCATGTTGTTTTGGCGCGCGACGAACATGAAATTGATTCACAGTATATGTTAGGATTATCGTTACATTTAACGTATGCGATTTATTCATATTAATGTATATTTTAATACCTCTCTGTATTACCTGTGTTCAGAAATAAATTGATTTCATTTGATTTGATTCATAGTTGTTACACAATGATAAGTAGATATTGTATGATAGTTAAGTTTGAAGTAGTATCTAATAAGTAAGTAGTAAATCTAGGTAGTAAGTCTAAGCATCTATATTAAGTTTAAATCCATATCCGATAGTAGAATGGTATTCCAATTGTGACAATTTTATTTGTAAGAGGTAACAATTAATTAAGAAAAATTTCACAGCAACAATAACTTCCTCTAAAAAACCCAAGCCAAAAAAAAATACAAAAAAAACGAAGTGTCATCAAAAAAATTGCGGAAATATTTTAAAAAAGGAAAAGGAATTTTATTTTCCACAATGGCGCTCCACTTGTGAGCCGACCTCTTTCCTGACAATCGTCTGTTTATTCTTGTTACGAAACAGGCTTTATTGTCACCAGTCCACCTTAATTTTGTTTAAGATGAATTGTTTCACGGTAATATTGTAATACAATTATTGTGTAACCGAGATAAGAAGTATAATAGAGTGTTTTGGAGATGTAAATAGATACTTAAGCAAATAATACAGTATCGTGGCTTTTATATTTTAATAATTTTGTAGTTGTTCGTGACATGAATAGAATGAGACAGAAATTTGCTTAGTAGGTACTTAATTTTTGTAATTAAGAGTTAAAAAAGCCACCGTTCAATAATGATACATTCGTATGAACAGCTGTACAGCAGCTGTAAAAATAGACTTTTCGATTTTTTGTTTTCACTTTTGTATATTAATGTCTACTAACGATTTTTCTGTAAAGTAAAAGAGGAAAGTCCTAGCAGACAATACATTTTAGTTCAACACAATATATTTATGCTACTCACACACAAATTACAAGGTAAACAAAAACCTTCTGCATTAATTATCACTTAATTAATTAACAACACGTTTTAATCAGTTATAGAACTCCGTCATCTGTCATCAGGTCAAAGTCAGTCAAACAGGACGTGACCTGACTTAAGAATCGCCGAATATCCTCTATGATGTCCTTATCACACCATTTATGATATAACAAAGCACCATAAACTTAATATCATAGTAGGTATAAATTGTGCCGAAATATGGCTACCAGTATCATTCAACTGCTCAACAGCAACCATGAAGTTCCTCATCCTCTCTTGTGTTGTGATCGGAGCCCTGGCTGACCTGCCTCGCTTCAGACCTGCGAGGTTCAGGTTCCAGCGTCAAGAGCTAGCTCCGACCACCACGGATTCACCAACTGAACCGACCACTGAAGCATCAGGACCTTACCCACCATCAGGATGGAAACCTGCTGGAGAACCATTCACTCTCCCCAACGAGCAGCAACCTGAGAAGCCAGCTGACCAATATGGAGCGCCTGCTGATCAGTACGGAGCTCCAGATGCACCATACCCAGCTTCTGGATGGAAACCTCAAGGTCAAGCTTTTGAGCTGCCCAAGCAGACACCACCAGCTACCAGCTACGGCGTTCCCGACAATACTTATGGAGCTCCTGAGTCCACTGAAACTCCAACTACTGATAACCCTCAAGCTGAGAGATTAGAAGGACCTGTAGATGTCCAGAAGAGTATTGGAACTTACTACGTGCTGCTCCCAAATGGACTGCTGCAAAAAGTGGAGTTTGCGACGGAGAATGATGTCCAGAACATGAAGTATACTGCGAGACTCCAGCTGCGCAGACCTGCTCCTGTACTTTTGAAGTTTACCAAATGATGGTTCTGAATAAACTGTTTATTATGCTGTGAAAGATCTGTTTCTTCTTTGTATTTGCTAAGATTTTATAATAAGTACATATAAGAGATTGTACTAGTGACATATGTTTAGAAAGGCGGTAAGTAAAAACTTAAAACTTATCCATTTATCAGGTCAAACAGTTAAGTTAATACATCGTAAAACATAATTAATTTAATTGTGTCTACTGATATCGCATTATGGCTCCAGTTAATGCATTGGAATTTAAAACAGCATTAATTGATTTCGGAATTTATCAATAACGTTACAATGCGATACATTAAAAGCTTATGTTAATTACATTATAATAATGATAAAAGTACACTTTATAGTTTTACAAAAAGTAGTGTTTTTTTTTATATTTGATGGGCCGACGTTTGACCAATATCTCCCCTGTTGGTAAGCGATGATGCGGTCTACGATGGAGCACGTCGTCCCAAAAGCAACCTATTCACTTGGACCTTGAAGACACACAGGCTATACCCTTCAGGCAACACACGACTCTGGTATAGAATTCCACTCCTTAGCAGTAAGCATAAGGAAGCTTGATGCGAAGCGCTTCGTGCGTTCATTATAAATCACTTAAAAAAACAAGGTTTATATAATTTTTGAATTCCTGGTGTATTTCTTATTCATAATATTCATTAGTAGTCATTTTAAATTTCGCTGCTATAACTTCTACTATTAACTTAAAACATGCACAACCTAAAATAACATCTATAAACAAATCCCTTCAAACATAAATCCAAGTAATTACCAGCACCACATCACCATTCAAAAATCAACTTTATATTCTAAAAATCTGAGTTTATTTTCACTTTCACTGTATATTATAAGTCTCATATTTCTTCAGCTACTGAAAATGAAATGAAAGGTATAGCAGGTGACAGTTCCCATGAGGATCGTATGGCTAAAGAATTGGGTCATGAGTGTCTTATGTGAGACACTTGAGTATAGTGAGATTGTGACGTCACGACGGGATTGACACCGTCCTTTCATAATATTATTTACACTTCCGCGCGATTTCACCCGCTCTGCTCGGCTCCTATTGGTCACAGCGTGATGATTTATAGCCTATAGTCTTGTTGATAAATAGACTATCCAACACAAAAAGAATTATTCAATTCGATAAAAAAAAAAAAATTAACCAATGAATTCTTTAGTTTTTAACCAACTTCAAAAGAAAAGCTGATTCTCCGTGTGACCTGTTTGTATGTATGTATGTGTGTTTGTGCGACTATCTCGCAATTGACTAAAACAGAACTACTAGATGACTATAGATGTAACTTAGAATAGATATAGATTAGATTTACATATTTCAGATACGTACTATATGTATGTATTTTGTAAAACAGAGAAACTTTGAGTATTGATAAGGTAAACGTTTACTATAGTATAAAATATATGACAGTATAAAATACATTTTGTAAGAAAAACCGACTTTATAAAAACTGACGGAATAGTATCCTGATTGGACAAATTACTTTTTTGTCACGGTAGGTACCTACAACTTTAACAGAGCATCGAGTAAATTGATGGCAAGTTAAAGGTGATCAATAATAGGTTCCGCTCAAATTCAACTTCAGGCACATCACAAGTAGTATTTTAAACTGATGTACTGATTTGTATTTCTCTGTACTAAAAGTATCTGGTTAAAAGTTTTTAATTATCTTTGCTCGAAAAAAATCATCAATAGCTACATCAAAAAACCAATGAAGTTATATTCATTGCCATCATGTTTCATTTAACTTAAAGAGCACATAGACTTAAAATTATAGAAGTGAGTTGTAGGAACAGTCTCTAGGGTCTGCATTCATTACCGTGAACCGCTAAACGTTGGCATCTCCGCAATAATTATGTCATTTATACTGGTGACGGATTTTAATTGCTGCCACGTATTCATCTGCTGGTATTCATGGAACAGCTGTTTTAGAGTTGTGACATTTTCGTATTAGGTAAGGTACATGCCTGTGATATTCGTGGTCAAAGAGATTTGTCGCCGTACTCAGAAGCATTTATAGGTTATTTGACCCAGTATTTAGTGGTTGGTTTAAGAACTAAATCGTTACTAAGGAATACTCGTTATTAAGTAGCTAATCGTTATTAAGTAGCTAATCATTAATTGGTCTATTTTATTTAGTAGATATATTTACAGAACAAACGAAAATAAACATTCGGACCGAGGAATGAACCGCGTACTGCGTTTAAATATTACTACATAACGGCGAAATTTAGAATCGTATTCTAATAAGGATTTTTACTAAAAAAAAACTCACACAAAACGACATTTTCTAAAAATGAAACCTAGCCAGATCCCTTCATCGCCCCCGAAAATCCCTGAATACAAAATTTCAACAAAAACAATGGAGCCGTTTCCGAGATTATTGATATTATATCAACAAGAATGTAAGAATGAATTGCATCATTTTAAGGTATTTATTTACAATCTGAAAAACAATCGAGGAATGACAAGCGCTCATGGTTCGCAGACGTATTACATTGGTCCGCAACGCAAATTAGATCATTATTTGTGAATATAGGAACGCGTAAGATTATTATTTGTGAATATAGGAACCACACACAATTGGGTAGTTTCCAAAGTATGAAAATTAAAAATCCAATCAGTCCGTCCGTTAGATAATGAAAAAATATTAGACACGTATTTTTTATTTTCTCGTAATAAATTGCAATTCTTAGAAAAAATGGCGCTAAGTTTAGGAGTGGGAGGTCGTTACGTCATAACGTGCTACAAAATGTGGCATGCTGTGACGTCACACGATATTTCAAATTAATGTATCGTCGAAAGTATTTAACTTTGTGAGAAATGTTACATGTCAAAATTTTAAATTAATGTACCAGACGGCCATTAAAATAAAATTTTGGAAACTACCCTATTGGAACATTAAAATATTCGAATTGAATATTGATTAATTTAAAAACAAGAATATCAGTATGATATGTGTGACTAATACCAAGGAATAAGGTAATGATATGCTAATACTATTTAATATCAATATCAAAAATCCCGCCTGATACAACATCCCTAGCTGTTAATATGTATGTAGCCTTAATATTAAAGGCAGCTGTTTCTAATGTGAGTCGGTTCATTTTGTTTGGGCGAAACTAAATGTGGCCATGTTTCATGTTTAACGAGGTTTTTTGTTCTTTCATCTTGAGCTTGAAATGTCCTTAGGATTTTATGTTGAAGTTTAGTCTAAATGTGATGATATCATGTTACTGTTTATAATGGGGGTTTAGGTAATGATTATGGCATATTGTAAGAGGTAGATTGCTTTTTTATTCTAACGAATTGCAGTTATTGTCATCAGCATCACACCCACATAACGACTACCGAACATAGGTATTCTTAAAGTTTTCTTTTAGATAAGATGATTAAAATTACAATTGATATTAACAAAGTTAACATTACAATTTACACAAAACTATAAAGCAACATTATTCAAAATTCATCTATGACGTCACACTGTAACTAAAGAACACCATCTTATCTTAACAAATACACATGCATACTACTAAAGCAGAATAGAATAATATTAAAAATACATTCAAATGTGGGAGAGCCATACTTCGGGACGAATGGGCCGGCTCGACCGGAGTGATACCACGGAAAACCGACGTGGAACAACACTGACATTGTGTTTCATCGTGTGAGTAAGGTTACCGAAGGCCCCAATTACCCCTCTCCCGAATCTCTCTAATCCCTGAATCCCCAACAATCCCCAAATTCCTAATCCCCAAAACGCCGGTAACGTATTTGTAACAACTCTGGTGTTTCGGGTGTCCATGAGCGGCGCCAATTGCTTACCATCAGGATCACCTGATATACCGGTGAACGAGACGACGGTGATCTGTCTGCTCGTTTCATTCCATAACGAAACATCCCCATAAAGAAAGTACTCAAGTCAAGACAATAATAATAACCTTAAAAATCCTCATGGCGTTCACTGACCGCTCATCATAGACTGTCATAAAAAGATATGACCAAGTGTCATAGACCACCTGTTGTCTATTCCTTTAACCCTATAGCTATTATGGTCTATCAGTGAGTTTGTGGACACCGCAAAAAAGAGATTTCAGTAAACACCATAATTTGCATAGGATTTTAGATCTTAAACGTTCATAAAGAGTGTCTTTTATTGTGTGACAATGGTGTGAAATAAGAAAAAAGTGTTGAGAGTATTTTTTGAGAATTTCTGTTTCATAAGCAAAGCGCTTTTTTAAGTAATTGGTTTAGAATAATGTCGTTGTATAATAAAAAATAAGCAATTATGTGATTAAATCGGGAATATTCAACAATACTTTTTTAAGATTATAGATAAACAGAACAAATGATTACGTATTCACATATTTATTATAAGTAAAGTATAGTAATCACTGTAATAACTAATTATTGGAAACACATACATTTACAATCCGAAAGACGTTGACATAAGGTCTATAATCCTGTATCATACCACCACTGTTCATGGATTCGATCACAAGTCAAATGAGGAACTCTTACGTCTCACGCTGGGTTTATGGTGCTGTAATTTGCCTGGAAAAATAAATAGACATTAATAGTTAACTAAAAATTCACGTGAGTAGAATATACTGAGAAAAGCTCTACTAGTTTCAAACCACAGAAGGGTTCTTCCTCTAGTCTCACTAAATTTGACTGTTCACAAAATTATTATTGTATAACTGACACTTAACATACATTTTATGTGTCAGACTGCCTCGTTGGCCGAGGGGTCGCAAGTGCGACTACCGGGCAAGGGGTCTCGGGTTCGATTCCCGGTTCGATATTACTGGGTTTTAAAAAAAATCTCAGTACTAGCACGGAGTCTGGAAATGTGCCCGTTATATGGCAATAGGCTCACCTCATAACATAAATAGTGAAAAGTGGGTGTTACCTCTGTGTGCACCTCTGCCTACCCCTTCGGGGATAAAAGGCGTGATGTTATTATAGTATAACTTAATATAGATATAAATTCTTCCATGAAATATCTTACGCAAGCGATAGTGTAAAGGACTACCAGTTGTGAACATAATAACCATTAAAATGGATGACCAACTTGAGATCCTAAGTTCGGGTCTTAGGATAGTCCCTAGAGCGCAATGTTTATAAATTATGAGCTTCCTAAACACAATGGTGAGGTTGGACATCGCTTTAAACATACTAATGTTGGATAATATGTTTTAGAATAAGTCGTTAGTCGAGAGCTGTTGGTCGAGATTTGTTTCTGGATGGTATTTTTTTTAAGGGTGGAAAGTCATCGAATGACTGCTCCCGCCCGGGTGAGGCGGGAGGGAGTGTCAGACTCTTACTGACTAAAAACCACCCGTTCCTTCTCCTGCACGTCGAGCCGGAGCCCCGGTAACCCGTTAGGTTCTCCGCGACTTCTGGATGGTATAAAAGGTTATTTGCGATTATCAAAAATCTCAGTATTCTAACACGGATTCTGGAATTATGCCCGGTGTTTGATAACGGCTACAACTTATAATATGAGGCTCAGCACCTGTTTAACCGCCTACCTTATAAGCAAGTATCCGATAAAACAATGTGTAGATGTATGTATGTACGTACAGATACGTAATACAAGTTACGTTCTCAAAGTCAAAGTCAAAGTTAAAGTTAAAGTTATATTTCAATTAAACCGTATGTTGGTACTTATTTTTTTTTAAAGACGTTGCCGCACATTTGGGGTTTCTCCTGTGTCGTGGGTGCGTTTACAAACATACAAGTTCACATACACAATAACATCCAGACTCGAAACAACAATTTCTGGATGACACAAAGTGTTATTCCGTGCGGGAATCGAACCCGCGACACGTTACACGGCAGCCGGTTGTCCAGCCACCGCACCGACCATGCAGTCGAAAAAGTTGAAACATCAACAAATACAAAATAAATAATAGTCTGTCAGTCAGTCCGTCAGTGAAGCTAGGTGAATTTAGGTTCGATATTATAATTTATTTAGTACATAGTGACTATTTAGACATTGTGAAATTGACCCTGAACTTGATTAGAAAACTTGTAGTTACAATCAACATGCACCTTTGTTCTTTAAGCATGTTTTTGAGTAAAAGATTTCTTGTATCATGTATGCCTACCCCTTCAGGGATAAAAGGCGTGATGTTATGTATGTATCATGATTTCTTGTATCACTTCCTTATTAAAATTCTACACATGTGTGTATATTATTGGAACATAATAAAATTACAGGAGGTAGGTATTATGTTATACAATATGCCATAAAGGTGCTATGTAAATTTAGTCTGTGTCTGTCTTATTCTCAGTTTTCTTAATCATGCGAAACATCTGTGATAATATTAATTAGAATTATTGTATTGAACATTTATTTGGGTATTTAATTCAGCGAGTGAAAATCTATTAAAATTAGGTAATTTTCGACTATTACCTATACGCCTTTTATTCCCGAAGGGGTAGGCAAAGGTGCATATTACAGCACTTAGTGCCATGTACAATGTAACATCCACATTTCAATTTTATATTATTAGTACCATGTAATAGGGGGCGAGGCTATTGCCATATACCGGGCACTATTCCATAATTTTACAAAAATCGAATAATAATCTTTATCCGTCCGGGAATCAAACACGAAATGCCTTGCTTGTCAGCAAATGAGGTATCAATAGATGATAAAGTAAATTAATTCTTGGGAGGTGCGCTCCTTCGCAGGCTGTACCATCGCTTACCACCAAATGAAACAGAGGTCAAATCCCAACCCATAAATAAAAAAAAATTCTTACGATAATGATCGAGTCCTTCGAAGTAATTGTCCTTGACGATCCAGAAGTTGACCATCCATTGCACAATGCCCCTGATACTGCAGTAAGCCATGACTACGGCTATCCAGGACGTGTCTTCCACGTCCAGTGCTGTTGTTAAAGGACTTTTCATTATAGCCCGGAGATGTCCATTCTTGGTCAGGTAGAGGAGTATAGCCGCTGAGGAATTAGAATAATGTTTATATTATAACTGTCGTGAGACATCCTATATTATATTTTTTAATTACTTATGTAACAGTTTGATGAGGCATTCGACTAGTATCTGGAATGCTGCTAGCATGACTTGAAACAGTTACGAGAATAAGCCGAAAATATAATAATTAATGAGAATAATGATTTAATAGACTTATTATTGTAGATAAAGTCATACATAGGATGACCGAATATTTTATAGATAGTATTATATATACAGTATTTATTATTAACGACTACGGAAAAGACAAGAGAGTTATTCTTAAAAAAAATAATTGAAATGTGTATCAATTTGTCACTACCTTGTTTGTGCCCATGCATGCAAGACCACACAATCGCAACTCAGAAGTAATATTAACATTACCGAAGTCTAATTTGATTAGAGATAAGTGGCATTAATTATTTTAACATTTTTCTACTTAATTCTGAGAATTGAATTGGACTGGATTTCTATTGAGTGGAGGCAGGGCCACTAGAGTAGAGTGAATGGAACAGTTATCCTGTCGACTCGGCACAGATTAAACTCGGCTGTCTGCGCTCGAAAGCTGGCTCCAGAGTGGGCATCAATTACAAAGAGGCCCAGCTTATGTAGGCCTTGAATAAATGTGGTAATTGTCGTTATCCTTACAATTTTGGACCCTATTATAGAAGATATTAGGGATAGACTAATGATGATGACAGAGATTGTAAGTAATAATGACCGTGTGTGGACAAAGGACACGATAACGACAATAAAATATGCGTTAATCTCACAGAGATAAAGTTCAAAATTATACTAACATAAATATCACTGCTTTACTTATGGTACTGATAATATTTTTAATATATATACCCTTTGTAATAACAGGCTGAAGATGATGATATATTTTACATAACATCATAACATAACGCCTTTTATCATTGTACAATGTAACACCCACTTTTCACTATTTATGTTATGAGTCCCATGTAAAAGGGGGTGAGCCTATTTCCATAAACGGGCACAATTCCAGACTCTGTGCTAACAATGAGATTTTTTTTTAAACCCAATAAAACTTTGCCCGACGCGGGAATCGAACCCGAGACCCCTTGCCCGGCAGTCGCCCTTGCAACCACTCGGCCAACGAGGCAGTCATATATTTTACGACATTTACAAATTATTCTTGAGAAGCCTTATAAATAAATTCGACACAGCAAAGGTATTAAAATTTAAAGTGTGGTCAAGTAAAACTGGTGAATAATTCATTGGAGGCAGATCAAAGTCTGACGTACAGTATTCAACCGAATGTAATCCTGTGAGATTGCCTCCACTCTACATCGGTTGTAAAGTGGCCGAGCTCAGAAACGATACGTATTAAATTCGTACCATCGCTGCCTTTGATGGTGTAATGGATGTCTGGTTTCGTACATTACCAGCAATGTATCGAGTGGCTTATCGGGTATCGTCGTGTCAAGGGGATTTACAATTCCACGTTGGGGCTTCGTCTGTTTGTTTCTCTTCTTTTGTCTTATATGTAAATCCAATTCTTTAAACAGAACTGCTTTTGTTATTATAATTGAAAACCGGTTTAAGTGGATTGTTAAATTCAACGACTTCATTAAGTAATCTGTTGGTTTCAGCAAAGGGCCTTTGAACATTATGTGTCCGGTCAAGTGGTAGAGTATAAATTTTTAATTGTAGTTAGGTAATACATATATAAACACTGAGTAGTTTTTCGTATTCACAAAGTGTACAAACTTTATTTGAATTTACCAAATAAGAGCGAAAACTACAAGAAAATATTTAAAATCTTACATTCAGTATAGGTGTATTTGGCATCGATCAGAAACAATATGGTGTATACCACATCGGTAAGGAGTAGCGCAATTCCAGTGGTGGTGAATGGTAGCAGGGTGGCGTAGAAACTGCAGGACCGCTGCCCTTGAGTTATGTTGATGATGGCAAACAACGTCCAGATTAAGTGAAGGGACAGCCATACTTGAATCTCTCTAAAATGGAACACAATGCAAACATATTCAATAGCAAACTAAATAAAATTAGGAAATATAAGCATGAGCTAACTAATAATTAAGAGGTACTCACGTAAATATATCGAGGAAAGCTCTTCTAGTTTGGAGTCACAGAGGGACTCTTCGTCGTGAGCATCGCGCGCGGTTGCAGCAATGTCGCGCAGCCTACTCTTCGACAGTAAACTTACTTGAGTAACTCGTAATTTTTAGTTGACTCAGCATACCTCACGATAGTTATTATAAAAAATATAAGCGGTTCGATTATTCTATATTTAACTTTTAAGTATCACATCTCTGTTTATCTTGAAAAGACGTAACAATAAATTGTCACAGCTCAAGCATTTGTGAGTAGCATGAAATTTTGCTCTACTTCACATTTTAATGAAGATAAAATTACGTAGGTACTAACGTTCTAAATCTCGAAGCGATGTGATTCTTTGTTGGCCAGACTATACTGGTGTATATTCTGTCGTGGCCAATGCTGGCTGTCACGTTGTAGAAAAAGACTTTCCCGCAAGCCTCAGGGTCGTATAAATACAGGATCTTCATCAACGTGATCTCATGCAGCTCGGTAGCATCCGGCTCCAATTTACAGTCTAAAGTCAGCCAACTTATAATCACAACTAATAATGCTGAAAGCGTTGAAGACGAACATTTAACAGGTCCATAATGATACTGTCCATAAACAGAAAATATTAAGGTATCTTAGATATCATTCCAAAATATGATTTGATCGTGTCAGAGTACACAGACCGTGAAATAAATTATCACAAATAACGATCCTTACTTTGGAAGAGTATCGCTAGCATGCTCCAACATCCTAACGACCCCATTACTTCGGTTTATTATTGCGACAGTTATTAAATAATAAACCTTTTCCAATTCAAGGCCGCACTCAAACTCGTTACAAAACGTTCCCGAGACAATCTAGAGAGCAAACAATTTTCAAGTGGGCTGCGTACCAATTTGCTGTCACTAAAATGGGTCCGCCCCATGTTTTGATTACAGGTAAAGTCCAGAATTAATGGGCAACGTCTCCCGCCGGGAGGTGATAATGAAAAATTTAATAGCATCCTTCTACCAACGTTTCAAATTGAATTCGTTCAAGAGCAGAACCGCTTCATTTCATTTCTCGTTACCAAACGCTCTTTGGGAAAAATTCATTGCTTGCTAATCTATATAATAAAAGTCGGTTACTTTTACGAACATTTTATTGCGAAAATGAGCTCTATTTCTTTTTCACTAACGCTCAAATTGGTTTTAGTGCTATATAGTTAAGTTCTAAATATTAAATCTTAATATAAAACACCGAATCCTTTAATTAAATTTGAGGCTTTCGCTCCCCCAATCTGTAGACTAGGATTGAATTGTCAACAAATTGAAGTTGTTGTGGTTCGGGGAACGGATTATACTGATCGACAGGCCACTTTTTTCTGAATTCTTTTCTCCTGATCTTTCTTAGGATAATTCTGATAACTTTACAGAAGTATAAATTGATCATGAAGAATACAATACCCCGTAACCAACACACAGAGGCTAGAATTGGGAGCCAGCCGGCAAAGTGATCATAGTTGTTTAGTTTCAGATCGATGTTCCATCCACTGTACCTCAGTATCATTCCTTTAGTTAAGCTCTGTTTGATATGCGTGACGTAAACTATTGCCATTGAAAAGTCAAAACCGACAATGATGACACAGCTATAGAAGAATACATCTAGAGCGAATTTCAAAGCGCGTATATCAGAATTGTTTTTCATGATGAATCGAAAAGCAATGGCTAGAAAGAACCATATGACGTGAAAGGTTAAGCTTAATTCTATATATCTGTAAAGAAACAAGGATTGTGGTTAGAAAGCGGTTGCGTAAACCTTCAGTAAATAGTATTGCCGTAGACTTTTCTAGTCGTAATAGATTTGTGTAATAAACAAACACAATAATATATAATAAAAGATTCTATTTTAAAACGCAGATAGCGGGAACAAGAACTTTTCCTATCTCAGTATAACGAAGTCAATTTGTAATAAATATGCAAATCATGCAGCACATCGGGAGAAAACGCTGCTAGTACAATAGGACGCAAAAATATCGGATTACGTACAGCCGGCGATGTTCACTTCATTAAACTTACTGTCCTAGAATCTCAGTGTTTTTGTTCCAAAGCTTTTCCGAAGACAAGGGAAAATAGACGTCACAACTGGTATCTGTTATTGAATATTACTTTTGTTTTTTGCTGTTAATTCGAGGAAGAGATGAAGTACCCGATATTTTTATGAATTATATAAGTTTTTTATAGTTAGATTATTTAGTACAATTTTGATAAACATAACATCACGCCTTTTTATCCCCATAAAGTTAGGCAGAGGCGCACATTGCGGCACTTAATACCACAGTACAATGTACCACCCACTTTTCACTATTTATGTTATGATTCCCATGTAATAGGGGGTGACCCTATTGCCATATACCGGGCACATTTCCAGACTCCGTGCTACTACTGAGATTTTTAAAAACCCAATAATACTTTGCCTGACCCGGGAATCGAACCCGAGACCCCATACAATTTTGATATTATTATGAAATAGTAAGCTTTAGGCACATTATATTATTATAATCTTTCGGGTCATAAAAGGTAACTAAATTAAATACGTAGTACGTACTTCCTAGTCTTAGCTGAGAGACGAGTAGATACAGTGGTGATAGCTGGCTGCCATCTAATAGGAAGAACCTCAAGGCCAAACGTGTCATTACTGATTTGCAAGTTTGATATCATCTTGGCTTTCCTGAGCTGGTACCCACAGGCCTCGGAGTCGTATAGATACATGATACGAGTCAGTTTGTCAAAGTCCCACGTCGAATATTCTGGAGTCCAAACGCAACTGAGGATCGTTGCTGCTCCAACACACACACAGACACCTAAAAAGAAAAAAAATTGATGAATAAATATGACATTAGTAGTCATGGTTTTTGCAGTGGCTGGACGACAGGCTCTTGCTTGTTGTTGAGTATCGATTTACGCATCGAATATTTTATATTTTTTTATCAAAAATTGTTGTTCAGGGATATCTTAGGTCAAATTTTTAAATAACATAAAATACCATAACATCGCGCCTTTTTATCACCGAAGGGGTAGGCAGAGGTGCACATTGCCACCGTGCAATCTAGCACCCACTTTACACTATTTATGTTATGAGTCCCATGTAATAGGGGGTGAGCCTATTGCCATATACCGGGCACAATTCCAGACTCCGTGCTACTACTGAGATTTTTTTTAAATCCAATAATACATTGCACGACCCGGGAATCGAACCCGAGACCCCTTGCCCGGCACTTGCGACCACTCGGCCAATGAGGCAGATATTTAAACAGTTAGTTTTATTATTACAATCTTAAATAGGTAGTCCATTTGTCACAGTGGAAATCGCAATTCTAAAGGTTCAAATTTTTCGCCACTGCTTGGTCGAATATATAGTCCTTTAGTCGACTGTTACGAGGAGACAGTGCTAACAAAATATTTTCTACACATTTAAATGCCTTACCATTAACATGATCAGGTAACGAACATACAAACAACATACTATAATGATGATACTCACATTGTATGATAATAACGTCAGCTATTAAAGTGCACTTGTTTCTATCTCTAGGAAGTAATTCGAAATGATGATCATCATCACTGTCCATCAATGTGTCCACGCTTTCGAAGATCATTGTGAACAATATTTGTTTTATATTATTTTCACTAAAATAATATCGTCACAGTAAAAATTTGACATTTGACAGATCAATTTTCGACATCGAGTTGTTTTTTTAAAAGGGTTTTTGCGTGTGTTGCCGTAATGGTAATAAATACATTTAAAAAGTATCAGTATCTTCAATTTTTAATAGATGAATTTTAATTAACTCAGAAACTATCTTGTTGGTCATAAGGTTACTTTTGACCCACTTAGTTTTTAGTAAAATTTTCCGTGGTACTTGACGACTGGACTTCAACCAATTGTATAGTCTCTTTTTTGTGCCTTTAGGCTTAATTCATTCTATCTCCTGTAGTAATTCACCGAGAGAAGTGGAAACTATAGTTTTCTTCTTTTCTTCTTATAAAGTCTTCTTATTCACTTTATTGCGGGAACCAAGACAGTTATTCATGTCCCTAAGACGCGCTGGACTTCAATGTTCCAGTGTTTTTCATGGTTGTATCTACTGTAAATCCTGGCTTACAGGAGTTGCAGCGGTTTTGGGAGGTTGTGGCGGGCTTCATCATCATCATCATCAACAGCCTATAAATGCCCACTGCTGAGCAAAGCCTCTTCTCACACGGAGAAGGTTAGAGCGTTAATCACCACGCTTGCTCAATGCGGGTTGGCGATTTCAAACTTATAATTAGAAATTATAAGTCCAGGTTTCCTCACGATGTTTTTCCTTCACCGTTTGTCAGTGGTGTCTAAATAATTTTAGGAAGTACATATAACTCGGAAAACGTCACATTGGTACTTGCCGTTGGTAGGTTTCGAACCCGCACCCTCATGCATGAGAAGTGGGCGTCTTAAACCTCCGGGCCACCACGACATGTGGCGGGCTTGTTCTATTTAAAAAGGTTAGTTGTGACTTATACTAACACTGAATCAAAGTTAAGTCTAGTAAGTTTTTTATAACTACATGCTGATTTAGCCGCAACCAATACCTCAGTTTCATTATTTAGTGATCCAGACTAATTCGTGTTTCTACAACACTTAAGTTTACTTAAAGCAAATTACTTAGAGATAGATCCTTTTAAATTGAGTTACATAAATAGATTTGAATGTCAATTAATTCTAAATGTCAGCTTCGTCTAAGTTGTACCTACTAAAGAAAACAATTAAGTGAATAATGTCAACAACTGTACAAATACAAAATGTTTGGAGTTTGAGGCTATTGAATTAAGTATACTAAATCCTACAGTGTTCTCCTTCACTGAGTCTTAGACGGTGATTAATGATCATGGAGTACCTATATTGTCAGAACATTTTCGGCGAATATCTAAATTGTTATTAGCTTTTCAACCGACTTTAACAAAAAGAAGATTCCGTGTTTGTACCTGTATGTATGTATGTTTATTTGTTTGTTGATGATTATCTCGGGATGAGATGAACCGATTTCGATTCGGTTTTCAGAAAAGTGTTGGTTATACTTAGGTGAAGGCTTTAGTATAGTAATTAGTCATTTTCAAAAAAGGGGAGTTGGAGGGTGTTAGTTTTTATAAACGCAGTATATAAAATAATTATTAATGTTTATAGTTTGATATGGAGGTTCATCAGTAAGTTATGAGTTTCAAATAAAATACATACATTTAGTTAAGACAATTCTATATTATTCCTATCGCTTCCATATCGGTATGTATCGGTTTGCATTTGAAGTCAATGGTTCTCTGGGACTTTTAGGAGTACATGCAGTATTGTGCATTTGGTTCTACTAAACTATTTGTGTTTCCTTCCTTTATAACAAAACAGAGACGAGAAGTTATACAATCACATCTCTACTGATCAAAACATAAAACATAATAAATCCTTCATTTTGGTTTTAAAACCTTCCTAATAGAACTTGTTTGAAGTTTAAACTGAGCAGTTAAAGTAAAAGAACTAAGTTGGGGAGCTCTCAAAGAGCTATGCATGGAGCTGTGGACGTCTAGTTAATTAACTGCCGACAGTTTTATGTCTTCCTTAGACGAGCTGAACATAGGGGTGGAAACACGATTAGTTCGACTTGATAGGAGCTGGTAGAATGTATAAGATTTTTTAATGTCTCGTATCCCATGGTTAGTTAGGATTACATACAGGGTGTAAAATCAAAATCAAATTATATTACAAAAATAATTTTTGAACGTCAACAAAAAAAAATTAAGGTGGACCTATTTGCTCATTCCAAGGTGTAGATTCCTATGGAGAAGAACGAGCAAGAAACTCCATAGGTTACCCTTTTCAATCAGGTTTACAATAGAGGTACAATTTACTAGTTACATAGTTTTGTTGGTTCAATTTTGCGAGAAAAATGTAACATCAAAATCTAGTCAAAGAGATCAAAAAAGAAAATAACTTTTAAGGACATTACATAATGCAGTCTGAAGCTGACTAATCCCAGTTGACGGCGCCCGTTCACGACTATGACACGTACACCAGTACCTACCACTTAACTTGACTATGCAACATCAGCCTGAAGCAGTTGATTACACTATTACTATTATTACATAAAAGAAACATGTAATTCCTTATAATAACTATCGTGAGACATACTAAATTAACTAAAATCGTGGATTTCTCACGAGAATATACTTTTAGTAGAGCTTTTCTCAGTATATTCACGTGAGTAACCCGCGATTTTAGTTAATTTAATTCCTTACTTTTGTGAATGTAAAAATTTAAAATTAAATTTGTTTTTTGCCATCATCTGTCGGCCTGTCGACGTTTTTCGGGGGCATTCCGTTTACGCCTTGCGTGTGTAATAAGTGTAAAATAACAAGGTACAATGCTGAATGTAAATAGATACATGTCAAATAATAAGTTCCATGGTCTAGTTTCCACATGTCAATTTTTTAAGACTTGTTTCTTTAAGAGTAGTTTCTAACAAAGTTACATGGAGTTTATAATTAAGTTTTATACGATTAACCATTAATAACAGGTGAAAAGTCGTTCAACGAAATTTGTTTATTTTTTTTCTTCAAACTAGATTCTGCTAGTGGCTTCGCCCGCATTCCTGTGGGACAAAAAGCAGCCGTGTGTTAATTCAGACTATAATCTACCCCGTTTTGACGAGAAGGAGTAAAAAACAAACAAACAAAGAAAGAAAACCGTTTATTTCTGCGCAAAACCCACATAAACTTAACATGTACAAAAAATAAAATATAATATAAAGCGAAGGTAAACATTAAATAATAAAAAACCTAAAATACCAGGGCTCAAGTAAAATTAAATCTTGTCCATGGTCCACAGACAAAGTGAATTGCTAATTATTACTATTATCTGTGGACCATAAGCAAGGAACAGTTTTAATCTACTTCATTGTTTTACGATAATAAAAAAATATGAAGATAAAGTACTCGGTGCACAAACCAATAATCATTCAAACATTTGCATATATAATGTATGTAGGAAACAATGAATTCTATCGCCTATTCGCACTCAGAATATGAATATGTGAAACCTCAGGATTAAGTTATGCAGACGCAGTTGTGGCACGCAATCTCTTAGTGACCACAGAATTGCAGGAAGTGAACAGATGTCCTATTCTGCGGGTTTGATTACACAACTAACTAGAGCTGACGGAATTGGATATCATCAATCGATTTTCACAGTTGGTCCCAGGATTGCTCCTTGCGGCATCCATATTGAAATTGTTGACTTCAATGTATGTTTAATATATTATATATTGATAAAGTTAAGTGTTGTTATTTGTCTATCTCTCTTTTTAACAAAAAGTAGATAGTAAAACAAGATAGAAAAATGACTTCTGATATTAACCCTTTTTTTAAGGGGGCAAATCATCACATGACTACTCCCGCCTGGGTGAGGCGGGTGGGAGTGTCAGACTCTTACTGACTAAAAACCACCCCGTTCCTTCTCATGCACGTCGAGCCGGGGCCCCGGTTACCCGTTAGGTTCTCCACGACTCCGATATTAAAATAAAGTTTACATATTAGTCTAGTTGTGTATCCCAAATGATGTAGGTATAATAAACAATGTTCTGGAAACAATTAGAGGGAACACAAAAAGTAAAGTCAACGATCATTAGAAGCGAGGGGAAACTAGAGCAAAAATGTTTTTGGGTTTTTCGTTGAAAAAATGTTAGTGTGAGCTCCATCGAATATTTTTTCCCATTGTTGGTAAACTTTGAAAGATAGTTTTTCTTTTAGGCTTTATGCTTTTGAGATAAGAGCTACGTAGTAGATGTAAATAATTCTTGCTTGAGTTTGTTCAGGCATAATGAAGAACAAATATTTATTTTCTAATATTGGTTAGTTACATTAACTGATCTATTCATTGTTGAAAGAGGAATGGGATATTTTACTAAATTTATGCTATCTAGAAACTCTATTTGCATTATCCTACTTGGAACATCTGGTCTATCTGATACGGAAATCGATCGATGAGACAGATTTTACATTTCAACTTCCATAACCGAACCAACTAGAAATTAATTTGAAACTCTATCTTCCCCGGACAGTAACACAAAATACCTCAATAACATCGATTTACTTAACCTAAATCGGCACGAGAGCGAGGGTAATTAAAATGAAACGCTCCCAATCAGCAAACACGCAGATACGTTCAAAATCGGACGCAATCAATCATGTTTGAACAAGTTTACATATTCTCGGCATCCGTACATGTTGAGGGTTGTTGGGTACACTGTAGTCTAGGCGTGTTGATGGGGGCTTGTTGATACATGTCTCAGGGTTTAGTCGAGATGTTGAGTAAACCTCAAATGCTTACGTGGTGTGTATACAAGTTATAGTTGTTTTACATATAAAATCATCTCAGTCATTAAAGGTATTTTGTATAGCCTTTTCTTCAAACTCCTTCACAGAGGCTTTGATGGTTCAGAGTAGCAGTTTCCAAATTTAGAACTTAATTTGGAAATTAATTCTTCATCCACTCCAGAATCATATAGAACTGATTCGATAAAGAAAGCTTCGACGCTTAATGAACTTAATTTCATGATTCTATAACTACCTCTAATTGCCATTACTTTATCTAAAGCAAAAATCAAGCCTACACTATTGAAATAGACAGCGACATCAATTACAGTACACACAACTACAAATCAGGCTATCCGCATCCAGTTTATCATGGTATGACTTCGCATGATGTTTCATCAGATTTAACGATCAGTTTATACTGGTTCTGTATAGCTTGATGTGGCGTCCTGTGCACAAGACGTGTTGGATCTGAAACCACGGACATGCGGTAACATACGTGTAACGTTTCATCGAATTCCGTCGAGCATTGATGCTGACATATTGTCAGGTAGCGATTGTTCATTTAGCTTTAGAAATTGAACCATACAGTGGAATTGAATATGCTATTATTGGTAGATGTTTTTCATCATTTATTGAGTGTAATGCATTATTTTATTCACCGTTGGCATATATGTTAAGTTACCATGTTGATATATTTTGAGGCTTCAATTTCTCAGTCTAAAATTAGAATTTGGATTTAAAGTCAATATTTGGCAACAGATTGTCTCTTGTAATGCGGTAAATGATATTCCCAGCGAAAATTATATGTGATTTTCCACCTTCCCTTTCGATATATGGTGAATATGACAACATAATAGATTTGTAATAGTCGTGTTATCATAAGATTAAAAGACAAAGTGCGAAAACTATGAAAAGGAATAACGTGCTAATAATAAAAGGGCATCGACCTGACCCAAATGTCTCCTAGAGTGAGATTGTCGACTTACTTCATTCCCCCAGAAACAATAATACTAGCGAATGTGCATTTTTATGACATAACGATGCCATGGCGAAAAGTACGGTAGCAACGTTAAGTAAAACTGTTCATAATTGCTAAATCAGGACGTCTATTGTAATGTTAATCTTTGGAAAGCGTTCATAATATTTCTTTGTGGGGCTTTAAAAGTTTGACACTGATTTTGAGTGCGTCATGTGTAAGAAAATATTTTCGTCTTTTTATTCTTTATGAACATTAATTTATAGGTATGTGTGTTCCTGTTAACGCTATCTGTAAGTACTTGATCTCTATTTATGAAAGTCATCAATGTAAAAGTGATTATGCTTGACTTTCTATCTCCTTAAGACTATTTCAAGTCACTCAATTTTGCAGTTGATTCCAAAAAATTATAGGAAACTAAAATGTTGTAATTTGTCAGCGGGGAAAAGCGGCGAATACATCGTCGCTTTTCCAGAAATGTTCTCATCAATAAATAATTTGCCTCCCGCCTTGATGTAAAATAAATGAATTGGTCATCAAGGACGGCAATAAAGTTCAATATTCATATGTATTTATTACACTGTTTGTAATATAAATTTTATTTTGACTTGTCCTTTTTGTATTGTACGAGCATTTTCTTGTTTTCATCACTATCCTATTTGTTTCAACAAATTTCCGTTTGTTTAAATGGTCTGGATAAAACAAACATGAAACTATTCCAGTATCTATTTACTAAATAGTTCACGCAATCAGGTTGTTATGCAAATAAACCTCACAAAATATGGAGTTCTATCAAAACAACTCTTCAACTACATTCATAAAATACTAAAAACACATCAAATTATGTAAAACAAAGACATTTATTCACAACGTCCCGAATAAATTACATAAAAATATATTTGGTGGTTATTACCGCATTGAAAACGATTCTGTATAAATATCGGGTAACGACACTGAACAATAAATTCGTTTGAAAAACGGTATTTCCGTATCTCTGTATCGGATCTCGTATAATCCTGGCAAATCTAAATTGCATCCGTTTGGGTAACATTGGTTGAAAGGGCTAGAAATTAGAATAATTGAACGTAAGCTGCGGACGGATATTGGGGCACTGCGGTGTAGACGTACAACGGGGCGCGGTCTTCGTTCTTGTACTGGAGACGGGCTGTGTACGCCATGTTCCTGGGGTCGTTCTCAGTCTGGAACTGCACTCTCTGGAGCTGGGAATCAGGCAGCAGCACGTAGTATACACCTTGAGCACTCACTACTTCAGCGTCCTTCTTTGGTTCTTCTTCTAATTTCTCTTTCACTGCTTCAGCCTTCTCTTCTTTAACGATTTCTTCCTTCTGTTCAACTTCTTCCTTATCCTCAGTTTCATTTTGTTCTGGAACTCCGTACTGTGTGCTAGGGACACCGTATTCCGTCTGAGGAGCCGTGTATGTTTTTAGAGGAGCACCGTAGCTGTCATCAGGCACACCGTATGATGTTGATGGTGGAGAAGCTTCTTGGCGAGGCGGCAAGTTGAATTCCTTTGCTGGTCTGAAACCAGCTGGAGCGTAAGGGGCGTCTCCATTTTGCGAGGCAATAGCCACGCTGTCGGCACCAGAGTCAACTTGTTGTCTCTGGAATCTGAATCTGTATTGAGGAGGTTCAGCTGCCACCACGGCTGCGAGCAGTAGTACACACACAAAAGAATTCATGTTGAACTGATTTCTTCGACTGACTGAAGACGAATGATGCTGTGGTCATACAACGCCACGCTTATATACATTTCCCTCTTTTCAAAGTTTCCGTGATCACCGGATGTGTCATCTCTCCGCCGTGATCGATATTCTGGGCGAGTGGACCGCGACATTGGCCTCCTAACCGACGATCATTGGTTGTGTAACGACGATTAGGAGCTGTCATTGTGCGTACGTGATTTGCGTACTCTCCGTACTTGTTTACTAAAGAAAATGTATTATTATCAATATTCATGAATGTGGGGCAAACCGCTTTCTTTTGGTTTACTAATTTGTGAATATTCGGTTGATTGTGAGCATAATAGGTCGGCTCGTGTAATCACCGCCCAAAAGGACTGTGTTGCCAGTTGGCTGACGTAATTAAGGCGCCGAGGGCAGAATTGTGTAGTGACTTTATTATGTAAATAGCGATTAGCAGGTGGTTGTTACAAAGTGAAATTGTTTTTGTGTCTCCACTTGTTTATTCTAATTGTACTGTTTGTTTAAAACATTGTACATTATTTAATTTTCAATGTGAAGCTTATAAAATAAAGGACTTCGTTTAAAGTTGGCGTTGCCACAATTGTTACCTGTAAAGTACCTACATTATTTGTTACTTATTAAGATGATGGTGACAGTGTTTATTACGGTCTATTTGTGTAGATATAACTGGCTAATATTTTTGATTAAATATTTTATCGAAATGATTTAGCAATACTGTGACTTAATAAATATAATCAAATATTTTATTATAATATAATCTCAATCTTATTCAAATATTAATTATTTTAATAATGTCACCAATTAACTTTGCCGTATAGCAAAGATAATCAACTACCATCCAGTACTGACTATAATTTAACTCAATCGTGGTACGACCACGACACAATCGTCATACAACACAGTTGTACAATAGCTCCAATTACTGTTACGTCCAATCGTTGGCATGTATTATGCATGGTGCACATCTCCTTGGCAGTCAATTATGGCGTTAGTTGGCATCAGGTGCCAATGCTGTTACCTGCGTGACCGAATTTGAAAACACTGATTCATTAGACCCATTGTTTTTTGATAGTGCATACTTCAGACTACTAATAGTCTCTCTAGACAGAGAGTCTAGAATATTACTCAAGACAAACAACTTCTCCAAAATAGATATTCTTAATTAAAATATCTAGAAATTTCAATTGTTTACTTTACAGATTGTATCCTAGTCCCGAAGCAAATTAACTTTGAGAGTATTTCTAGGAAAATTGAGCATATTTGCCTAGCTAATAAAGTCAGTATAAAATTAGAAGCTTGTCCAGATTACTATTCAAAACACGAAACATCGTATAACGTATAATGGTTACGATGAAACTCGAAGAAAATAAACTATTGTTCAACAACATAAATCTAGAAATTACTAAAAGGCAATTTTCGTTCATTTATACTTCGGTGTCACATCATAAGCTTCAAAGGGGTTCTGAATTAATATTCGATTCGCGTCCATGAATAAATATAAAAAGGCGTTAAAACATTTTCGAGGCAGCGAGCGACGCGACGCGACGCGCTGATTCCCTCATGCATGTTTATACGCAAAATGGTTGCTTGACGTTTAATTACGCGGGAATATGGCGTCTGCCGCACATGGCGGGAAATGTCTGCGTTGATAATACAGCTATTGATATTTTTCTTACCTAAATAACATTTGTGCGTTAGATATTCTGCACATGACATCCACTTTTACCGGTTTTGTACACAGTTTTATTTCATTTTTGTTTCCACGTAGACTTTTTATGTGGTCGACGTTTTGATATTAAAATGACATGATGGCGGTTGACGTTTAATTACGTAGTCAAATTCGTTCAGCCGGTTTCAGTTTGACAAAATTCTGTCCAACGTGAAAGTTTTGTTGAATATGCTAAAAATGTGGATTATTTTAGTTGTTGAAACATAATATCAGCAGTATTTGAGAAGCTTATACTGAAATGCTATTATGGAGTTGTTTGTATTTTATTACTGCTTAAATTTATTTTATAGAAAAATAATAATACAAATTTTAACAGCTCCGAATGGCGTATACAGTTAATAGGCAATAAATTACTGCCATATTACGGCTAACGAAATTGAGTTCGGAAAGTTGACTAATATGGAAAACAAAATGGCGGCTGTCATTTAATTTCGTACTCTCAAAATGCCATAAACACACGAGTTTATGAAGGAAAGTAATAAAAATATAATTTGTTTCTGAGTTCCTACAATTAGGGATTTGTAAAAGAGCATCAGCTGGAATTACTACGGTTTATAACTTATGGTAGTTAAGCAGGTTTTCCTTAATTTGCTAGTTAGCGATGAAGACAAGGTCGTTAAAAAAAGCGGACAGTCTCTTGAAACAACGACTGTGGCACCTGGTTCCTATAGACTTACACGCAGAACATAAACACATTGACACGAAGGACATCTGTCATTTTCTTAAGTCTGGTAACGTAGTAATCCATTACACACGCACACATAAAAAACCACTGACTTGAATGATTTCTAAGTGACACTATGTCTGCCTCTTTTTCAACGTTCTTGAATGAACTTAGAATGTTCCGAATTTAATATTTTTTTGTTTTGTACCAATACAATATTGCTTCTATGAGCACTTAAAACTCAGTACTAGCAAATAACCAGCAAAAATATCGGTAGATATTACTCGTATAATCCTACCTTTCAAACGAAACCTTAACCAAAAAAAATCCGTCTGTAATCAAATTCAAGTCTTATAAATAAATAAATAAAACTCGTGTGAAATGGTATTATTAGAAGAGGTTTTTAGCACTGCCTGCCGGAGTTTTTTCGTAACAAATTGAAAAACTCTACGAGAGACGATTGTGTTTTTATTTCTGATTCGCGTTCCTAATTTTATGATGAATCCATTTGGGACTAATAAATCAGGTCGCTTGTACCGTATGTTTTTGATCAAAACTTTTAATTGTACTTTTTTAATGTTCGACACGGATGTTGCGTTTGGCATTAAATAATGGTATTTCGATTCTGAATTCTGATAGAAGTTGAGATTGTTTAAAAGCCAACAATCATTTTGATCCTTTTTATTTTCCAACTTCATAGATAGCCTAGCCTCTGCCAGTGGTTTCGCTATGTATCAAGATAAAAAGTAGGCTGTGTGATCTATCTAGCTCCGTGCCAAGTTTCATCAAATCCATTCAGTAGTTTTTGAGTGAAAGAGCAACAAATATATACAGTATACACACATGCTCACAATTTTTTGCGTTTATAATATTAGTAGAACAAGTACCTATCATTTAATACATACATGTCTATCCCCAAATCAGTAGGAAGCACCCAGAACAATTCTAAATGGAATGCCATCAAATCGCTTCCCGCTGGTCGGTGGGAGCTAAATTGGAGGCGATTGCTCGTCGTTAACAATTTGCATACATTTTACTTGATTTATTGCAATTTTGCACACCACTGTGAACACGGTTACCGGGTCCTTTATTAGATGTATGACGTCATCACTGTCACATTAGCTCGATGATGTGTGAAACTAATGAATTAGAGTCAGTCTAATTAAAGTTCAAATTTCATTTCGTATTTCGTCCATTTTGAGTAGCTGGTCTGTGCGCGTTTTCCATTGGGTGATTTTAATTGTGCTGGTGGATGATATGTGATTTGTAATTTCTAATTGTTGGCTGGGCTTTGGTTACAGAGTTCGTAATTAAAATGTATAGAGATGGTGTTATTGACATTCGATAAGCTTACCTTTCAAAGTTATAAGTAGTAGGTGTATTATACGGTTCAAAATGGAAAACATAATTTTATACATAAAGGAATTGAACTCCTCTTGCTTAATAGTCTTGTCTCATTTTTTATTCTATTTTGTTATTCGCGAAGGTTCGACAGATGTGCTCTTCCTTTTTACTGACCTCACATGAACTCCTGATCTATGGACATATTGACCTTAGGACTATATTGACGGAATATTTTCCGCGACATTGGAAATAAGGAAAGGGGTCTTCATTTAATGGTATTTGAATTGAATTTTCCTATAGTTTCGTCAAGGTGTGATCGTAAGGACATTTCGTGTGTGAAATATATTAGTTTCGTTTTATTTGACTTGTCTAGGTCTTGACCTTTTGTACTGATTATAAATATTTCTTGTTGTAGGTAAATAGTTCATTCACATTTTGCCAGTTGCACTACTACGCAGTATTAGACTGAGACAGAGATCCGAAAATAACTTTTAATTCCTATAAGGTTAACGTTCACGACTTGTCAATTATCAGTTAATGATATAAGTCTAAATAAGAATTTTAATGGCAATAGTTAATGATAATTTCCATTGAAAGTTAGAATTGCTTTTGAGACATTTACTAAAACATTTATCGCGTTTATATTTCTGTGTGCTCCTTTCAAAGTCGAAACATTTATTTTAAATAAATGAATAAATAAAATCTTTATTCATTGTAATAAATTAGTCATAGTGCAGATAAACATATTAATTTAAAATCAAATAGGAATCTCAAAAGTTTGAATGCCTGTACTAGGAAGAATATTCTGTGTCACAGGCGAGAGGAGAACTAACAATATCTATTACTAACTCTAGGACAAGTTATTTATATAAACAAATTTCTCAACATAAATAGTCGATTAAAAGTAAAGTTTGATTATTTAAAATACATACATAAATACACATCGTAATTATACTAACTTAAATACAAAACATAGGTATACATGCATACAAAACATTTTAGATACTATATTACCGTAGAATTTGATACATCAACCGAAGCATATTCTAGTTTACAGTCCAAACGGTCATTCACTTGGTGTTACAATACAATATGCTTGAACAGCAATAAATTATTTATTTTCTGTACATATTACTTTCGACACGTCAAAGTAGAATTATCCTTCTGCTTAAAAGGCCAATGTCTGTGTCTCCAAGTATTAAGCAAATAAACAACTTATTCTAAACTATGTAAATGTAGTGTAAGATACACATAGAA